CAATAGGTGCTTCACAACGCAAATACCTACAGTAGCGGTCAAAAGTGTTCGCCGAAAAGGTTTTTCGTGCTCCTCTTTTCTTTTGCCAAAAAAATCAATGGTGACCTCGAAATTTTTTGAATATCCTGATTCTTTAAGACTCAAGGATATAAAAACACTAGAAAACATAGTATATCAATCTTTGGAGGGCGTTGCTCAAGTGAGAAAAAATAATGCACGAAAATCGTTTCGGCGAACACTTTTGACCGCTACTGTAGGTTTTATGCAAAACTATTCACCCCAGTCGGAAATCGAACCCGTGCCTCTCGCGACCTGGGCAGTTGTGCTACCGACGACACCATCAACCGTCTCAACTTAGTCCAGCATTCTTTTATTAGTGAACGACAAAAAGAAGTGCAGAGAAACTACCTGAGATGCCTTCATGGCATTTAGTAATTTGATTACACAAGAATATGCAAGACCGATGGCGAAACTAACAAACCATAAGTCTAAGACGATTTTCGTGTAATTCGGTATCGAATATTACAAATTTTACCGTTTTTCTACCCCAGCTCGTTCATTTAGGTCATCAGGTCATAAATTAGTTTTTTTTCGAAAAAAAAAAGTTCGAAATTTCGAAGAATCGAGTGTTGTTCAGTCCCTTTTTGAGATGCGCCGCGCATTTCAATTCCATCAAAAGCTTAGTGGGATTTTGGCTTCTTGATTCTGAGCCGCGCACGTGGTAAGTAGCGCCACTTGCCGTTACACCACTTTCACCCATTTACAGCATCATTTAAGATAGTATAAAAGGTTGGACAACATATAAATGATCTCATTTACGAATACTTGAAGCACGAATTGGTATTTAAAAAATCCATAAAAAGTTTGCGGCGCTATAGGCAGTTCTTTTTTAATTAGGCAATAACAAAAAATGTAGTTGACAATGTTTCATGTTTTGTTCTAAAAGTACAATTCTCCTTCTCTTAAATTATTCGTTCGAGCAATTTGCAAGTAGCCTTTTTTAGATTCTTGAACGCCTCCGCACAATAGAGCCGAATATCAATATTCCCGATTAATATTGGTTCAGTTTCTTTCTATTTCAAATGGAAAGTGTAAACAACTTCTCATTTACCACTTGATTTTATTATTTTCCACAAACGGGTGCTCTTATCAGATGACACCGCACTATGCCGCAGTTTGCGAAGGCGAGAAACGTCATCAAATTCCTTCTAAAGAAGGTGCGATTCTCTTGGCTGTGACTAAGCCAGCAGTGAAGTCAACCGCTCCATGCTTTGCTGCAACGACGGAAAGAAAGGAAACTATCAATAGTAGTATCCATTTGTGAAACATCAGATGCTGGTTTGGGGTCACTTGGACTCAGCCTTGTGGTGAAACATCATCCTCTAGTTCTGCTTTCGGTACTGCATTGTGACTAATTCAATCGTGGCGATGGCTAGGTCGCCGCGCCAGCCGCCGCAGCCCGCGATGCGACGTCGGCCGTGGCTAGAATTCAGGGTTCTAGCATTGGGAATGTAGGATTAGATGAAGTTAACAGTCGTGAAACACGGTATATGATCACCTGCCCCCTCGAAATACGCAATAATTCTCCGATTGAGCCAGATTATCGCTCTCTGATAACAGTTCAGGCAGTTGATTAATAAAGAAGTCAAATTATGTTCAAAAGGACAACCTTTACATGGCACAAGCTCTGTACAGTGAGGCTTAAATAACTGCGGAGATCTTAAGGTGACGCTTGTTGGCTTACTGATGTCCAGCACTCTGGTCTTATCAGTCACCTAGCCAACTTATGGACATGGATGGTTAAGAAAAGGCCCACACAGAAATCGCCGCAGCAACTGCCGCGCGCGACGATTCTCGCCGCGTGAGCGGCGTGACCTCATTAGCCGACGATTGAATTGACCGTCTCCCGCTTGATAGCGTTCAAACTGATCTGTGAATACCGTCAGATCCTTCTCGACGCCATCACCAATTTGGAAGCCCCCGAAAAAGGAGCTCAAGGAATCAAACCTGAGAAGTCAATGATAAATGCTCGAACGAGGCATGGCGATACGGCTTTGGCCTTAGCAGTACGCTACCAGAGGTAAGTCCCACAGCAGCCACTAGACTGCTCTGTTTCTCTATGAATCGTTGGCTTGGGTCGTATCCTTCACTAATTCGCAAAACCATGAAAACTATTACTCGCTCAAATTCGCGCCGTAAAACTGTCACAGCTGTGGGGTGGGATCCTTTCATCTGTTCCTCGGTGTGGAATCTCAAAGTGATCTTCTGACCTCCTCACTTACAACGAGAACCTTTCACTCTTCTAATGTATCCCTGGGCAACAACGTCTTTTCTCCCCGCTCCAAACTTCGATAAGTTGGAATCAGTGCTTCCTTCGTTACCTCACCAACACGTGCACCTCCCCCACGTATTCCACTTGACGCGCTTTTGGCCCCGCCCAGGTGGCTGTCAACTGGCCACGAAAAGTGGTTTCGAATGTTTCTTTCCTGTTGTAACTGAATCTTCATACATGGAGCTTTGTACACTGCATGTAGTGGTCACACATGACTCATTTCAACGGAGCAGGAGGACATCACTTTAATTTAAATCCTCTAAATGATACTGAATTTCTACTGGTAAGTTAAGTTCTTTCAGGGCATTGGAAATATTTGACATCCCGGCTCTTAGTTTGTTCATTTCTGCGTGTATTTTGTTATAGGTGCCCATTAACATTGTTTATAATTATCTAATTTCTGTTCCATTTTTTTGTTGGTTTTCTCTCCTTTT